CTAAGAGAGTACCTCCTTACCACAAGAAAAGAAATTTGTAACTAATGTAGACTTATTGCCATGATCATTTTGCAATAGATACATACTATATTAAATCAATATATTGTACATCTAAAACTAATACAATGTTATATGTCAATCATATTTCAATTAAAACCCATTAAATTAAATAGGAAAAGAAAATGAGGAAATCAGTCATACTGTAAACTTTTTTGAATCACGAATAGAGACTGGGGAACTCCTGGTGGTCCAGTCATTAGGTCTCTGTGCTTTCACTGCTGAGGGTGCAGGATCAATCCCTGATCAAGGAAGTAAGATCCTGCAAGCTGTGTGGTCAAAAAATTAAAAAATTAAAAGAATAGAGATGTAATTTAATTATATCCCAGAAGTCAATGATCTGTATACTTCTTCAGGGTCTGTCAATAAAGCTGTATTTTTATTATACATATTGAAATACATTGAATTGAATTTATATGTATGTATGAAAGGTTACCTTTGAAATACAACTTACCCCTCTTCAAGAACCAATACCTAATTCAGTTAGAGTAGTGGCAACTATTGGAGAAGGCGATGGCACCCCACTCCAGTCCTCTTTCCTGGAAAATCCCATGGACGGAGGAGCCTAGTAGGCTGCGGTCCATGGGGGTCGCTAAGAGTCCGACACGACTGAGCGACTTCGCTTTCACTTTTCACTTTCATGCATTGGAGAAGGCAATGGCAACCGACTCCAGTGTTCTTGCCTGGAGAATCCCAGGCACGGCAGAGCCTGGTGGGCTGCCGCCTGTGGGGTCGCACGGAGTCGGACACGACTGAAGCGGCTCCGCAGCAGCAGCATGTGGCAGGGACACAGTGCTTCGACTTTCAGCAGGGGAGCCCTCTGCCGGCACCTGCTGCGATTTGGTCCCGGACTGAACTTGCTGCGGAACTACTCGTGTCTGGGGCTGAGGCTAAAATGAGAGAATGGGCCTCAGAGCCCGGAAGGACATAAAAGGAGGCAGGTTGATTCTGTTTGGATCCAGAATAAGCTCAGAGGCGTGATAAGGTACAGGAGGTGCCACATAGGTAAGGTCATGGGCAAGGGTGTCAACTGGAGTCATATATCCTGTTTGTGGAAAAGTGACTGTGGGCCTGATGGAGATCTCAAGAAGACGGGAGAGGGACAGGGAGTGAGGAATCAATGTCTGTCCTGTTTGATCAATCAGTTTGGCAGTGGCCAGACCAGTGCCGTCTCGACGTGGACTTGGAGCATGCACTAACTGTTCTTTTGGTGTCAGCTGACTTCATATTTTGTTCTCTAAGGATCAGCTGTACATATGGTGGTTGCTGGACTCATGTGAGATAATTAAAAGATGCAAGATGTACTGAAAAGTTAAGCTGCTATATGATTGAAAAGGAGAGAGGACAGAGTCGGAGTTAAGAGCGTGGATTTTAGAGCGTGGATTTTTTTCTTAGCAAAAGAAAGAGTGACTTGACAGAGCACATTTTCAAAGTATGTACATCTCAAACATTTCAAGGTATGTTTGTGCCCTTCTCAGGCACTCTCAGTGTAATATTGTTCTCACTTTCTGGCCTAAGGAAATCAAGACAAATAAATAACGATTGAATAAATTGTTCATGGCTGTGATAACTGAGCTGGGATAAAAATTTCAAGTTGATTCTATACTCTTTTCACTATCCCATATGGCTTTCCAGTATAAAATGGGCTCTCCTGAGAGAATTAATAATGTAATATCTTTGGACCTTTAAAATTGCCACGCAAAGCACTATGAGAAACAGTGGAAGCTTATTTCTCTATCTGAAAATTTAAAAAAAAAATCGATTTTGGAGTAAAATGATTGTTAAAACAGATTAAAAGCTCATGTTCGCCATGCCTGGGGAATGAAGTATTATGGAGCATGAACTTTTTATCATCCCGAGACTAGCTGTGTGCCTTTACCATGTTATGTAGTCTCTTTCCACTTCCCTCATCACACTGTGAAGTGGATCCCGCGCTCTCACTGGAAAAGGCCAGGGGCGAGTGAAGTGGCTTTGGCATGGCAGGATGGTCAGTGTGGTCACCAGTAAATGTAGAACAATCCCCTCCCCTCGTTAGGTTACTTCTCCCTCTGTCAGAGTTCTGCAGTGTCCTCCCACTTGCTACAGCCCATGGGCTCTCTTCCGTTATCACCCTATTTGGCATCTCGGCAGCCTTTCCTGCATCTGAGCACTCCCTTCTTAAAAGTTTTTTTCTCCCCTGGCTTCTGTGATGGTCCCTCTTTTCTGACTCTTCACAGATCTCTCTGACCCTTGCTTCTAATCTCCTTTCTTAGCTCTTCCCCTCTCAAGCTCTTGGATCACCCTGTCCCCAGGGCCCTGTCCTTAGTCTACCTCTCCTCTGATCTCCTTACTCACCCACCTCATGCCTGTCTAGCTGTTGCCTCCTAATTCACTTCCCTAATCCCAACTGCCTGTGTGTTATGTGTCTGGTGGTTTATGGGATGTGTATACACTCAGATGTCCCAGAGGCATTTCAAAGCCAAGGTATCTTAAAGGAGAAACATCTTACCCCAAGAGCATGTTTCTCTGCTTGTGTTTTCCTTGGACTTCAATCTCAAACTCTGGTTAACATCGGCTTCTAAGTCTGGCTACTTCTGCCTTGTCAGTGTTCTCAAGGAGTTCCTTCCTGTCCATGCTCCATCACTGCCACATCACATTTTGCTCAGAGATTGCCTCCACGCCCCCACATGGCCTCCATTCACCCACCAGTGTCTGATAACTGAGGTTGAATGTCACTGGCCCTTCGGTGCTGACAGCGCAGGACCTATAAAGCCCTTGCTGACCTTTCCTAGAGTACCACTCTTGCTGGCCAGCTCTCTGCCCCATCAATGCAATCACCCTGAGACTCAGGATTTCTTTGCAGCTTCGTGCCCCAGGGCCTTTGCACATGCCTTTCCTGCTGTCTGGAAATGAAGGCCTAATGGGTTAATAATGGATATTATAATCGATATATAATAATGGTTCTTCAGTGTCACCCTTTATAGAATTTACTGTGTCGTTTTAGGCTACTTACAGGGTATTTGCTTCCACAAAACAGAGGTTTCCTCGGTACAGGGATCCTGTCCCGTTCATCTTTGGTTCCCAGAATCTACCTGCTATGGTCCCTGAGACATGGTGGGTGTCCACAGCACGGAATAAACCAACAGAAATGTCAACTTCTTTATTCCGAGTGGGCTCTCTGCCTGAGTAGCTGACTTTTCTGGAGACCCGCTCCCTGCGCCCCTCGCGCTCCCCCGCCTTTCAGGTGAAAAAGGCAGCGTGGTGGCTCGCCGCCTCGGGGCTGGGCTGGGCGGCTGCCCGCGCGCCTGCGCCCTCTGCCGCTCGGCTCCGGGCGCGTCTGTGCGCGTGTGTCTTGTTTCCAGAGGCTGGGGTCACAGACTCATTCACTGATTTCCTCGCGGCTGGACCGAGGCTGCCTCCCCAGGAGGCTCCCAAATACTCTCGCGCCTCCAAGGTCCCCACCTTCCCCCACTCCATTCCCAGCCAGCCAGACTGACCGGCCGACTCACGAGTGAGTAGCGGCGGCTCGTGCGACCCTGCAGCTCGGCGAGCTGTCTCCGGCGGTCCTATCCTCCTGCGGAGCCGTGTGTGTGTCTCTGTGTGTGTATGCGCGCGCGCAGATGTCGTCCCCAGGCCCCCACGCCGGCTCCGAGAGCCGCCCGCCTGGGTCTGCGTGCCCTTCCAAGGCTCCGCTGGGGTGCGGGTGCGCTGCGGTGCGGGTGCGCGCTCCCCCGGGCGCGGGGAAGCGAGTTTTCCGGGATTCCCCGACTTCGTACGCCGCCGCCGGTGGGGTTCCCCGGGAAGGCTCCCCGGCAAGAAGGCGGCGGGGAAGCCCTGGCTCTGAGTGGCTGGCAGGCCGGGAATCTGGGAGCTGGGCTGGCCCAGCCCAGCCGAGGGAGACGCCGGAGCGGCCGCCTCTGGATCCCAAGCTCTCTGCCTTTCTCCCTCTACCCTTCCTCCTTTCTTTTCTCAGCACCATCACAAAAACGCGTCGCTTGAAACAATGCAGCGAAGTCCGGCTCTCCTCTCCCACCTGGTGCACATCACCTCTCCCCCACCCCCAGCCCCTCGGGGGCCGGAGGAATAGAGTGGGGGTCCTGAGATAAGGGGCGTAGGCTTACCCTGGGGACACACCTGTTTTCGACTCGCGTTATATTCAAGCTGGTTGCCGGATCGCGCGAGGGGTTTCTACACAGACACGCCGGTGTATGTATATGTGTGTGTGTGTGTGCGCGCGCGTGTGTGGGCGCGCGCGCACCCCGAGCCCACGCTCGCTGGGTGCGCTGGATGTAAATAGCACACCTCTCTGCCGGCCCGCGCGTGCCGAGCCGGCTCCGTGGGCTCCCAGCGTGCCGTGACAGAGCTCCCGCGTCTCATTGTTTGGTTGTGGCTTCCCCACCCCTCCGCAAAGCAAACTGATTTTCGGTTTCGCTTGACACAGCGCTCTGGGACTTGGCGTGGGCCGCAGCCTCGAACGCCCCTGGTATTTGTAATTGAATAGTTCTCCCTGGCGGCTGGGGGGCAGGGGTGTTATTTTTAGTGTTGGGAATAAAGAGGCAAGCACGCTGACCTTTTTGCTGCTGCCTTGGGCTTTGAATGCGTGTCTGTCTCTAATGGATGGAGAAGACTGATTCGCATCCAGTCGGCGCACACGTGCCTGCACACAAGTGTGTACACACGTTTCTACACACCTCGCTTTCCCCCTTTTTTCTTTAAAAAAAAAAAATAGGGACTAGGAGTGCATCGTGCTTGTAAAAAAAAAAAAAGGAAAGAAACTTTCCTTTGTTCTTTTGGGCCTCTTCTATTTTGAGTAATGGAGTAGGAGTACCAAAAGGTTGCAATTAGTTCAGTCGAATAAGAGACGCTGTGAGTCAGAGCTGCCAGGTGGATAATTATTAACATATAAAAGCAGATGCGCAGTTTAAGGCAAAAGGGGCGGGGCGGGGGCAGGTCCGCCGTAGACAATGAGGGAGGGTCTCTGCCGACCGCCCGCTGCTTATTGTTTGGGCTCCAGAGGCTGCTGCCTACAGCCTAATCCTCCTCCAGGGCTTCGTTCCTCGCTCATCCCTCGGTCCCACTTGGGACCGTCCGAGTCCCCCAGTGCTGTCCGCCGGGGGCGCCGGGACGCCAGCCTCAGCCGCCCTTCGCTGACCGCGCTCTCTTTTGCTTTGCAGGTTGGCACCTTTGCACCCGAGGGTGTCGCGAGCCGAGGCGGCGAGGACCGGGCCCCTCTGGCCCAGCCAGCCCGGCGGGATGCGGCCCCGGCAGCAGCGCTAATTGCCCCCACGCTGGGCACCCGGCGTACGCGCTCGGGTCGGCAGGCGGAGCGGCAGCGGCGGAGGGGATGAGCCCGGGACGCGCTAGGATCCTGCTGCGCGCTCCCAGCCCGGGGTGGACCCTAAGTTGGGCTCATCTCAGGACCGCGCGGACCCCTGCCCTCCGGGGCACGCGGCTGCGGAGCCTCGGGGCCACGTCTGCGGTCAGGATGCACTGGGCACCTCCCTGCTGGTGAGGATGCCCTACAGCGCGACTCTGCACCGCCAGCCCCGGTCCCTGGTGGGCACGACTGCCTGGGCCCGGCTTCAGCCCCTCGTGCCGGTGGATGCAAAGCTCCGGAGTCCTTGAGTGCGATCGGCGACCGAACCTGAATTCTGAGAGCCATGGACCGAGGCGCTGGGCTGGAGCCCCAGGCGGGAGGGGCGCAGGAAGCGCGCGCCAGGGTAGGAGCTGTCCAAGAGAACTGCGAACCCGAGTCTTTCAGGTCCCAGAGTTTACCCGCCCTGAACAGCGCCTCCTGCCCGCCAGACCTGAGTCCCGGGAGTGAAGAAGGCTCCGAGCCCGCCCCCAGCCATCAGGAGTTGAAGTCAGACCCCTACCCGCCGGCCCCCAGCCCCTCTGCCCCGTCTACTTCGGCAGAGACGGCAGGACTGGCGGAACGTCGCCACGGGGTAGAAATTGGCAAAACCATGTCGGTATCCTCCGCCCTGGCCATGCTCCAGGGCAGAAGATGCCTCTACGCGGTCCTCACCGATTCCCGTTGCTTCTTGGTTTGCATGTGCTTTCTGACCTTCATCCAGGCGTTGATGGTCTCCGGGTACCTGAGCAGCGTCATCACCACCATCGAAAGGCGCTACAGTCTGAAGAGCTCCGAGTCGGGGCTGCTGGTCAGCTGCTTTGACATTGGGAGCCTGGTGGTGGTGGTGTTCGTCAGCTACTTCGGCGGCCGGGGACGGCGGCCCCTGTGGCTGGCCGTGGGGGGTCTCCTCATCGCCGTGGGGGCTGCCCTCTTCGCCTTACCTCACTTCGTCTCGCCGCCCTACCAGATCCAAGAGTTGAACGCCTCCGCCTCCAACTACGGCCTGTGTCAAAACGGCAACTCCTCGGTCAAGATGGAGCCTCCCACCTGCCTGAAGGACTCGGGTGGCAACGACCACTGGGTCTACGTGGCTTTATTCGTGTGCGCACAGATTCTCATTGGAATGGGCTCCACACCTATTTATACCCTGGGACCAACCTACTTAGATGACAATGTCAAGAAAGAAAACGCATCCTTGTACCTAGGTAAGCCTTTCCTGTCCTCTCAGGTGAGCTTGGACTCAAAAATGGAAAAGAAGAACTTTCTTTCACATTTTAGTGGGTGGTAGATATTACAGGGGAGAAGGAAATGGCAGCCCACTCCAGTGTTCTTGCCTGGAGAACCCCAGGGACGGCGGAGCCTGGTGGGCTGCTGTCTATGGGGTCGCACAGAGTCGGACACGACTGAAGCGACTTAGCAGCTGCAGCAGCAAATATTATAGAGGATATATGGTGTTATATATTTTATATATGTATACTTTAAGCAGTAAGCTTCTCTTTGCTTTTTGGTTTTTAAGCCTCCCTGTGGTGCGTTTTCAGTCCTGGAATTAAACAGTTGAGAGTGCTGTGACTTTTCAGAGTCACACTTCACACTGGGCTTTTCCAGAGTAATACAGACTTTGTGGAGTAGTGCTTCTCTTTCTTGCTGCCTGTCTTTGGAAAAGCTCTAGTGTATCAAGTTTATCTTCTCAAAGGGCTCAGGAAGGAATAAAAGTGACTGGTGTGTGAAGTGAGGTCATTGACAGCTTTCATCCACTGCTCCTTCTTCCTGCCTCCAACAGCAGGAAGTACCCAGACTACAGGAAACCGGCTGCATTGTCTCTGTATCTGTATCTCATATATATTGTCTGCCTCACTATTAAGAAAAAAACTTAAGTGATATCGAATGACTAGGTTATCTTTATGCAGAAGCAACCTCACAGGTTGTAAAATTTATCCAAAGCTGTTTTTATTGTTGTTTTGAAGACCCTTCGTTCCATGGAATTGGGAGAATAATGATTACTATTTTCTGAAAGAGTACTAGCTGGTGGACAGTGAAAGGAAAGTGAAAGTGATACTCAACGAGGAGGGCTATGCTTTTTCCTCAGGACAACTCTTGTCCTTAGAGGATGTTGGAGCCTTTTGTAGTCCCCAGTAACTGGCCCAAATAAAGGGTTTTATAATTTGTATCCTCTGCTAATGTCTTCTTTGGGCTTCTCTGGTGTCTCAGATGGTAAAGCATCTGCCTGCAATGCGGGAGACCTGGGTTCGATCCCTGGGTTGGGAAGATCCCCTGGAGAAGGAAATGGCAACCCACTCCAGTATTCTTGCCTGGAAAATTCCATGGACAGAGGAGCCTAGTGGGTCCATGGGGTTGCAAAGAGTTGGACACGACTGAGCAACTTCACTTTATTATGAAATGCAAGAGAAAGAAATTTTTATTCAGGCGGGGAGGAATAGTTTGCTTGTTACTGTTTTTCTTGTTAATTTTTACTTTTGCCCCGTGGTGGGTCTTGGTTGTGGTGCATGCGGGCTTCTCATTGTGCTGGTTTCTCTTGTTGGGGAGCACTTGCAGGATCTTAGTTCCTCCACCAGGGTTTGAACCTACATTCCCTGCATTGCAAAGTGGGTTCTTAACCACTGGACCACCAGGGGAGTCCCTTGCTTGTGACTTTTGCCTCCATGTTTTCTAACGTTTATTATGACAAAATTTTCAAATGTATAGAAAAGTTGAAATAATAGTATAGTGAACATCAGTATATCCAACCACCTAGATTCAATAATTGTTCATTATAGTCATGTTTGCTGTATCAGCCTGTGTGTGATTATGTAGACTATGTACATATATACACACACATACGTATGACTTCCCCAGTGGCTCAGATGGTAAAGCATCTGCCTACAATGCAGGATACCCAGGTTCAATCCCTGGGTCGGGAAGATCTCCTGGAGAAGGAAATGGCAATCAACTCTAGTATTCTTGCCTGGAAAATGCTATGGATGGAGAAGCCTGGTAGGCTACAGTCCATGGGGTCGCAAAGAGTCGGACGCGACTGAGCGACTTCACTTTCACTTTTCATACATACATATATATATGTATATATAGGGTAGGAGGTTAAGACTTTTTAAAGTAATCGTGGGTCCCTTTAAGCTTTAGCACATGTCTTCTGAAAATAAGGACGTTCTCTTATATAACTCAGGAGCTTAAATACCCTAAGAAAGTTAGTAACTATTCTATTTGATTATCAAAGTCCAGTCCACATTCAAATCTTCATTGTCCACCCAGTGTCTTTTTTAGCTATGTATTTTTTCAAACCACGAGCCAGTCAGGATTCATTCAGTCATTGCATTTGGTTGTTTGGTTTCTTAGCGTTTGATAAACTAGAAAAGTGTGTCAACTTTTTTTTTTGTTTCTACTATACAGACGTTTTGAAGTGACAAGGTTAATTTGTGGAATATGCTACATTCTAGAGTTATCTGATTATTTCCTTGTGGTGCACTTATCTCGTTCCTCCATATTCTATATTTCTTGTAAACTGGAAATTCAGTCTAAACGTGTAATTCAGTTCAGGCAAAATGTCTTTGGCCAGGCTCCTTTATAGGTCGTGGTGTGTGTTTTCTATTAGATGCACCTGGCCATTCACTAGTGTTGTTGAGTTTAATGACTTAGTTGAGTTGGTTGATTGTCAGGCCTTTCCACTGTAAACACACATTTCTCTCTTTGAAAACAACCAGTGGTTTTTAGAGTGACATCTTGACCCTGTAAACATCCCAATTGTTTTCTTTATTCTTTCTGATCTTTTCCTCCATTTATTTTGAAAACTTGGGTGTCCCACCCACTTCTAGCTACCACTGACACAAATCTGCTTCATGAAAAGCACAGGCAGAGTCCCACACAAACAGAGAATATCTGCTGTCAGAGCCCTGAGATTTAACTTTTCTGGTAGTGGTTGCCCCCCAAGAAGGGAGGGACTTCTCTGGTGGCTCAGATGGTAAAGAATCTGCCTATAATGAGGGCTAACCGGGTTTGATCCCTGTGTTGGGAAGAGCCTCTGGAGAAGGCAATGACAACCCACTCCAGTATTCTTGCCTGGAGAATCACATGGACAGAGGAGCCTGGTAGGCCACAGTCATGGGGTCTCAAAGAATCGGACACAACTGAGTGACATTTTCACCAAGAGGGGAAAATAGCAAGTGCATATTCAGTGTTGAGCAACTGTGCTCCTTGTGGGAAGACCAAAAAATGAGACACAAGCCCAGCATCTGAGGTGCCTTCGATGTAATGAAGAAATATTTCCAGTTTAAGGTAATATCTAAAGTGACATGTGAAAGGGAAAGAAAGTCCTACAGATGGGATTTGCTCCCGCCCTCCCCCTACCTTCTCTGCCTCTTCTTCATTTAGATATTGACTAATAATAATTTTTTGGGAAAACCTCTTGATGCCTGCCTTCAGATACATTCTTGATGTAACTCATAGGAGTTCTGCTTTGTATTAAATGGATCTTGATAAAAGCTCCAGTGGTTTTAGTACCAGGAATCTTACCTGTGTTTATTTCATCTAATGTTCTCAATGGCCTTAGGAGATGGGAATTGTTTCCCCTTTTTTATGAATGAGGAAACTAAGGCCCAGAGAACTTAAGTGACTTGGTTATGGGTGTCAAACCCACACCGACTGACCCCAGAGCCCTTGAACTTCTGAAAGTCCACTGAAACCAAAGGATGGGTCACATTCAGTAGGGTTCTGGGTGGTGCAGAAGGATGCAGAACTGGCTTAACATCCTCAAGACATAATCAAAACAAGACCATTCTTTAGACCTTTAAAGCAGCTTTTACAGGTTACCTCCTTACAAATTTAAATCAGGGAGATTGCTGTCTTCTTCACTGGTGGCTCAGATGGTAAAGAATCCGCCTGTAATGTGGGAGACCTGGGTTCAGTCCCTGGGTTGGGAAGATCCCCTGGAGGAGGGCATGGCAACCCACTCCAGTATTCTGGTCTGGAGAATCCCCATGGACAGAGGAGCCCCCATGGTGGGCTGCAGTTCATGGGGTCACAAAGAGTCAGACATGATTGAGTGACTAAGCACACACACTATCTTCTTAGCACATGAGCAGCGTTAACCTGTTATGACATGGAAGTTTTCCTATTAATAATAAATAACTAGGTGTGTATTGTGATTTTCTGCAAACCTGTTCTTCCATATTACCTTGTCCACTCCCCACCCATTTCTTAACTTTTTGGTCAATCTTTCTAACTGATGACAACTATAGAAGAAGGGGACGGGAAAGTAAAAGCAGGTAGCAGGTTAGTAATTGCAGTCGGAAACAAAATCTGAATTAAAGAAAAACTCATTGAAATGGAATGTAAATGTATACCTTAATCTTTTGAAAGTTTTGGTGTTAACATACTGGCAGCTTTCCATGTAGAAGCAATGTGGTTGTAGATGTGACCCAGCAGTCTTTAGACACATTCAGTGCCCTAACTCCTCCTGCAAGCATAGAGAAAACTTTGTAGGTAGGAAGAAGTAAGGCTAGCAACTGCATCACGATTTGAGATTGGATCTTAAGGAGAGAGAAAATGTGATCTTTTGCAAGGCACAAAATTCATGAATCAAACAGGGAAACAAGAAAGAATGACTAACCAGGTAAGAAAAGGAAAAAAAAAAAAAAAAAAAAGGATGCTTTTCTAAAATAGAAAGCCACAATTCCAGCTGAATGATTTTCAGGATGGGTGATGATTGGCCATGGGCCAGCCATTGGCCAGGCAGTGTGAGGGCAGTCACTCCACGTCCCTGGTGTGTCCGCTGTCACTTCAGACCCTAGACAAGGGTCAGAGTCTGCACAGTGCCTTAGAAAGAGCACCAGACGAGGAGGCAGCTGATGTATATTTTAGTCTGGCTCTACCAGACTAAAACACAGTTTGGTCAGGAGACTTTAGACAAATCCCCAAATATAATTGGTCAGGAGACTTTAGACAAATTCCTTAACTTCTCCAGCTTCTGTTTGCACTCCATTTGTTTCCTACACGGTGATATTTTTTTTAATTTATGTATTGTTGATTGAAGGATAATTGCTTTGCCATATTGTGTTGCTTTCTGTCATACATCAACATGCATCAGCACAGGTATACATATGTCCCCTCCCTCTTGAACCTCCCTTCCCCTTTGCACCCCCTCTTACCCCTCTCGTTTGTCACAGGGCCGGGTTTGAGTCCCTGAGTCATATGGCAG